CCCGCCCCCTGGTGGGCTGAGCTGGCCACACACACACACACACACATAAAAAAAATTAAAAAAAAAAAAAAAAAAAAAGCAAGCAGAGAACCGACGTGTAGGATGCCATCTCCTATGTGCATTGTATCCTCAGGGAATCATTAATTTCTTCCCATCTCCTTCATCCCTTGTGGACAGGAAGGCAGAATGGCTCTCTATCAGGTCATTTTGGAAAGAATTTACATTTTTACTATACAGTGCTGCTGTGCCTCGTATGCACATCAGGGAGCTTGAGGAGTGACAGCCTGAGCCCTCCAGGTTAAGGGTCCCCATCGTCCTTTGAGGACCGATGACCTGAGGGTTGGCACTTTGGCACCCTGTGACCCTGATGTTCCTGCCTGAATCAGTCTTTCCAACTCATGAATGCCTTTTTTTTTTTTTTTTTTTTTTTTGGTCCTGGGGATTGAACTCCGGACCTTGCCCTTTGCAAGGCGTATGCCACTGAGCTATCCCTAGCCTCAACTCATGAATACTGGTTTCCAAGTTCCTGGATTCCTTCCTCCTCGTTTATTAGCTGGCATCATTTGGTAATCTGGAATATGGTTCTCAAGGAAAGGCAGAACAATCCCCCTTTTCTTTAATTGCTGCTTTTCAGAGAGAGGGGGCATTGTGACCCCTGCTGGTCGCTTGTCCCGCCTTCTCTCAGAGTATTGCTGCGACATCTGGTCTCTTTTCTTCCATTTAATCAACTGCAGTTCCTTCAATCCTCCTCCTCCTGCTCTTCCTCCTCTTTGCTAGGGATCAAGCCAGGGCCTTGTGCCTGCTAGGCAAGGGTTCTACTACTTAGCTACATCTCCAGCCTTTCTTAAGTTGCTCAGGGAGGACTCAAACTTGGAATCCTCCCGCTCTGCCTCCGGAAACATTGGGATCACAGTTGTGCACCCCCATACCTGGCTGAGTTTCATTTTTAAATAAGTTGAGAGATGCCAGAGCATGTCTATATGCTGTCCTAGGGGAGTTTTGGGGGAAAAGAGAACACAGTGACAGAGCTGGGGCATGGGGCAGGGGGCTTGGGTGGGCAGCAGAGCAGGGCCAGGATGGGCTGAGGGCCGGGAGAACAGACCTTTTGCGGCTGCCACAGAGAAAATTTCACTGCCTCACTCATCTGTTCTGATGTCTCTCGAGCTGCTGTCCCTGTGCCCACGGGGAACAATGACATCCCCACCTTGTGTGGTGCCCCCTGGGGCTGGACGCCTATGATGCCCTCCATCCTTCCTTCCCTTTTCTCTTCTCCTTTCCTTTCCTCTGTTTTGCTTCTGGGGACAGGGTTTCCCTGTGTAGTCCAGGCTGGACTTATACCTACTGTGTTCCTCAGTTGGTTTGACATCACAGAGACCCTCTTGCATCAGCCACCCAGAGGCAACATTGCAGGCATGTGCCGTGGGGTGCTTCCTCACCTTCTCATTCATTCTTTGCAGAAGTATGTTTTGTACATGTGTGAGATGCAAGAGCTTAAGCTCTTGGGATCCAGCTCAGTGCTGGCCGAGGCTGCCCCTGCACCACCTGGAGCCCTCGCGGGGACAGCTCCCACACTCAGCACACCCTCCACTGTGTTCCTGTAGGACTACGAGAAAGCCCTGTTCTTCCCCTGCAAGGCGGCAGAGCTCGTCAATGACTATGGCAAAGGCTGGAGCCTCAAGTACCGGGCCATGAGCCAGTACCACATGGCCGTGGCCTACCGCCTGCTGGGCCACCTGGGCAGCGCCATGGAGTGTTGTGAGGTGGGGCCACGGGAAAGCACTGGAGCAGTAGCGGAGAGTGGGGGCGGGAACCAGGGCTGCCCCTTCCCACAGGAGGTTTGGGCTCATGCTCAGGGAGGGTCTCTCCTGGGGCCCTGCCCCCTCTGCAAACACCCGGAAGTCAGGCAGGAAGGGAGCCAGTCTCAGGTTCAAATCCCAGCCATGCCACTTGCTTGCTGGTACCTTGGGTGGAGCGCTTTTCTCTGAGCCTAGACATCTGCTATCATCCATGACTGCAGCCCTGCTGCTGGGTGTTCTGGGCATAAAGCCTGGGAACACCACTAGTACAGGGCTCTGAGGACGTGTGACTCCAGGGCTGTCCCATCCCTCACAGGAGTCTATGAAGATCGCTCTGCAGCATGGGGACCGGCCACTGCAGGCGCTCTGCCTGCTCTGCTTCGCTGACATCCACCGGAGCCGTGGGGACCTGGAGGTGAGATCCCTAGGGCAGGAGGGGACTCCGCTCTGGCCCGGTCTGATGCCACCACCTCCATGTGCAGACAGCTGTCCCAAGGTACGACTCCGCCATGAGCATCATGACTGAGATCGGGAACCGCCTGGGGCAGGTGCAGGTGCTGCTCGGTGTGGCGAAGTGCTGGGTGGCCAGGAAGGCACTGGACAAGGTGAGGGCACCCCCACCCGGGCCTTGATGTTGCCCGCCACTGCCTGCTCGGGCCATCAGTCCTGCCAAACTGGGCTTGCTGCACCCCTTGTCCAAAGTCAGTGCCCTGATCCTGTGAAGCCAGGACAGTCTGAGATAGCTTCCCAGCTTGGAGCAGGCCATGCCTGGCCCAGGAACCCATGGCGAATGAAGAGCCCTCACTGGGACTCGAACCCAGGAAGCTCACTCGCACTGTCTCCCAGCAGTATGTGGGACAGGCACGTCCTGCCCGTTCCTTTGATTTTTCTTTTAAAAGAATCTTTTAATTATTTATTTATTTGGTACAGGGTCTCACTGTGCAGCTTGGACTTAGTGATTCTCCTGTCTCAGCCTCACCAACACTGGAATTGCAGGCATGTGCCCCCCATGCCCAGTTTCCGTGGCTGGTATGGTGTGCCCAGGGTTCCGGGGCTGGCATGGCATTCGGTGCTAGGAATCGAACCCAGGTCCTTGTGCTTTCCAGACAGGTGTTTAGGCAGCCAAGCTATTCCCCCAGTCCCTGTTTAACTCTTCCATTTCTTTCATTCTTTCACACTTTTTTTTTTTTTTTTGGCGGAACCGGGGATTGAACTCAGGCACTTGCACTTGCCAGGGAAACGCTTATTCCACTGAGCCATCTCCCCGACCCCTTTCTTTTGTACCTTTTTGAGACAGGGTCTCACTATGTAGTTCAGGGTGGCCTTGAGCTCACTTTGTAGCAGAGGTTGGTCCCAAACTTGCAATGATCCTCCTACCTCAGACTCTCCAGCGCTGGGATTACAGGTGTGCACCACCATATCTGGCATCCTGTCCGTTCTGAGTTCTGAACACACACAGCCTGTGGCTGTGGCTCCTGCAACTCTAACCTTCACTCCCGGCTACTGCCACACACAGGGCAGTGACCCTTTCCTGTCCCCTCTCCAGTCTGCTGTTAGCCTCTGTCAGGCCCTACACCTGAGCCCCGGCCTCTGCTCATCTTGCAGGCTCTAGACGCCATTGAGAGAGCCCAGGACCTGGCTGAGGAGGTGGGGAACAAGGTCAGACCTGATTCTGTTTCCTGGAACAGGGGTTCTAGGAGCCCTGGGCCTGCATGACTGAGCCCTTCCTGACCCTGGGGCAGGGCAGAGATGTCACTGCTCAGGGGAAGGGGTTCCTCAGAGTCTCTGAGCGTCACAAAACTTGATGGTGGTCTCGAGACCCAGAAGGACAGCTTCATGGGTGTCACTTCTCCGGTCTCCCTGGGGGTGGGCACTGTGGCTCCTGTTACAGAGGAGGCCAATGAAGCTCAGAGTCACCAAGGTCCCTCAGCCGCTGCCTGGTCTGGCCCCCAGGTCACACTTGGGTCCCTCCACAGCCACAGTGCATGCGGCATTTCCACATTCACTGCATCACCATGCCCAGCCCTGAAGAGGCAGGGCCAGGCTCAGCGGTCTGGGTCTTCCAGAAACTGCAGGCGCTGTGGCAGGGCACAGCCAGCTTCGTGCCCACTGCGCTCGCCTTTGGCCTGTGTAGACTCACTCTGGTTCCCAGGATCAGGTGGCTAGAAATGTGGGTGGAGACAGAAGAGAAAGGCACAGTGGCAGTGACGGAGGCCAGCCGCGGGTGGAGGGCCCTCAAGTCCTCCGAGCACGGGCAGAAACCTGTCTTATCTCCACCCCATTCTGCTGCGGGAACCCAGAGAGGCTAGGCGTGGCCCTCGGCCACCAGTGGGCAGGCAGGGCAGGCTTGGCCCTCTCCACACCGTCCCCTTCTCCTGTCCCCTCCAGCTGAGCCAGCTGCGGCTGCACCGGCTGGCCGAAGACATCTGCCGCAGCAAGGGGCTGCAGCGCGAGGTGCGTGCCCACGTTGTGCGCTTCCACGCCTGTGTGGAGGAGACGGAGCTGTACTGTGGGCTGTGTGGCGAGGCCATTGGCGAGCAGAACGGCAGGTTGCAGGCGCTGCCCTGCGCACACCTCTTCCACCTCAGGTGAGGACCACTGGGCCAAGCCACCCCAGGGACAGGGACAGCATGCACTGGCCCGATGCTGCCCAGGGCCCAGGCTGCCCCACGAATTTCCCATTCATCCACTCAGAGTCCTCCCAACCATGGTGGGTGATATCCTGTCTGTCATCACCCCAAAGAATTCAGAGAGGTTTTATTTTTGGTAGGAGATTGAACCTGGGGCCTTTGCACCAAGTTTCAGCCCCAGCCCCTTTTTAAAAAATACTTTTTTTTTTTTTTTTTTTTTTTCAGTACAGGGGATTGAACTCAGGCCTTTGCGCTTGCCAGGCTAGTGCTTATTCTACTGAGCTATCTCCCCAGCCCCTAAAAAACCCTTTGAGACAGGTTATCTCTAAGTCACTAAAGTGCCCAGGCTGGGCTTAAACTTGCGTTCCTCCAGCCTCAGCTTCCAAGAGCACCGAGTCACTGCTGTGTGCCCTCATGCCCAGGTCCAGCTGTGTTCTAAGAACTTCCTGTTTGCTGGCCCCTGAGTCCCTGTCGCAGCCCTCTCGGGGCATTCTCTCATCATTTCCCCAAGGAACACAGTCATCTGGGGCCATCAGGGCAGCCTGTGGGGAGGGGAGCAGTGAGGCCAGGCCTGGGTGCTCCGCCTAGGCAACCACAGCGCCCTCTGCCCCCTCAGGTGCCTGCAGAGGAACATGGCCCGGGGCTGCCCCAACTGCCGCCGTGCATCCATGAAGCCCGGCTTCGTGTGACCACGGCCTTGACCCGAACTCCACTTGCTCCCTCCTCGCCCTCTCTCCACCTGCACGCGGACCCAAGCTCTGTTTACCCTGGACAGCCCCAAGATCTCCAGGGCCTGGCTGCCTCTGCTGCTCGAAGGGCCTGCCCTACCTCTTTGTACTTTGCTCTTTATACAAAAATAAAGCAGCTGGGCATGGTGGCGCACGCCTGTAATCCCAGCCCTTGGGAGGCTGAGGCAGGAGGATCATTGCAAGTTTGAGACTAGCCTGGGCTACGCAGTGAGCTCACGGCCAGCCTGAGCTGCATGAGACCCTGTCTTTAAAAAATAAATAAATAAAAAATAAAGGAAAGAATAAATAAACTGTTGGTACCTGGTTCCTGGGTCCTTGCTCTCCCTGCCATGTGTGAGGCTATGAGGTTAGGGTTCCACATGCCTCGCCAGCCACAGCTGTCCTGTCTGGGGACCCCAAGGCATCCACTGCCCTGCCAGGACGTCCTGGTGACCGAGACAGTGGCAGCTGGGGGTCCACCCTGCAGGCTGAGCGTACTGTGCTGGACAGCTCAGAGGTGTGTCATCTTGTGAGCAGACAGGGTTCTGCGTGCAGCCAGCTACAGTTTAGAAGAGAATAATACACGCTTTCCCAGAAAGTGCTGACCCTCAACATGAGCCCAGGCCCTAGCAGTGCTGCCGTCCCTTGCGCCCAGCTCTGATCGCTTTTCTGCGAGCCACATGGCTCAGCTTCAGGCTGGGTGCAAGTCCCTGCTCTGCCACTCTCCTGCGTGACCTTGAGTGAGTCACTTTGCCATGCACAGCCTCCTCTTCCTTATCTGTAACAGTGGGAACATAATGCTAATTGCTCAGACAGTGCTTCAGATGTTTGGAAGCTTGAACATGGTGGTGCTCGCCTTTTAGTCCCAGCACTCTGGGAGGCTGAGTCAGGAGGATCCCAAGTTTGAGGCGACCCTGGGAAATACAGGGAAACCTTGTCTCATAAACACTGGGGTGGTTGGAGATGTAGCTCAGTGGGAAGGCCCCAGGTTCAATCCCCACTTCAAAGAAAAGCTCCAGTCATGATGGTGCACACCCATGATCTCAGCACTGGGGAGGCCGAGGCAGGAGGATCACCAAGAGTTAGAGGCCAGCCTGAGCTACTTAGGGAGATCCTGTCTCGAAAAAAAAAAAAAAAATCAAATAAATAATAAAAGCATTAGAGATCATGCCCGACTTACTGTTATCAGCCAGCCTAAGGTCTTTCTGCTCCATTCAGATGCAAATCATGAATTGGCAAAGTGCAGCCCCTGTGTACCTGGTTCCTGCCACTGCTGGTGTCACGGTCAGAGGTTGGCTTCTTATTTATTTATTTATTTATTTATTTATTTTTTTGCGGAACCAGGGATTGAACTCAGATCCTGGCGTTTGCCCATCAAGCGCTTATCCTACTGAGCCATCTCCCCGGCCCCCCTTTCTCTTTTTATTTTTATTTTTTTTAAATTTTATTTTATTTTTTTATGTTTTGAACAATCTTTACTATTTTAAATACAGGAAAAACAAAGGTTAACAAAATTAACAAATATTGGGGAAGTTACAGAGTTACAAGAAATCATAGAAATACTAGTAAATAGTTATCCCTGGTCATCACTGAGTTGCATTTGGGGCTGACCCTGCTTTCCTCTATAACCCCTCTCCTAACTCCCTTCTCTGATGTTCACTCGTGGGGCTCCTGCCCAGTCTCATCTGTTGGATGGTGGACCAGGCTGCTGAGACTCTGGCACGAGGTAGATTCCAGTTGGCACCACTCTTGAGTCCACGTGTTCCCTCTGGCCCAGGGCCCTTTCTCTTTTTAAACTAATACAATTTAGATACACATCACGATCACATTCATCATAGGGAGTTTGTACTTTTATGTGATCTATCTTGATCTTCTTTTATCTTGGGCCCCTCCCCTCCCTTCAACTCTTCTTTTCCTCATTTACAAAAAGCTTTGTTTCCATTTTTTCCTTTTTTTTTTTTTTGGTGGTACTGAGGATTGAACTCAGGCCAAGGAAGCACTTATTCTACTGAGCTATCTCCCCGGTCCCCTTCTTTTATTTATTTATTTATTTATTTATTTTTGAGACAGGTTCTTTTGGGTTTTTTTTTTGTTTTTTTTTTTTTTTTTTAGACAGGTTCTTTCTACATAGCTCAGGCTGGCTTCAAGTTTGCAGTAACCTTCCTGTGCCAAGCATGTGCCAGCTGCCAGCAGCTTTCTACCGGGACAACGCCCCCTGCCTTGGCTGTGCCCATCCCCTCCCTTGCCACTTCAGGTGCCACTGTTTTGTTTGTTTTTGAGACAGGCGTTTGCTATGCAGCCCAGGCTGGCTTGGAACTCACCTTGATCCTCCTGCCTCAGCCTCCCAGAGTGCTGGGATCACAGGAGTGCCCCACTATGCCTGGTAGGAAGGGAGGGATTTGTGTCCCTTACTTGAATGCCCAACACGCGCGTGCATGCACGCACACACACACACTCACACACCCCAGCAGCAGTCCTCTTCCAGAAGCTTCCTGGTGTGAGGCTGGGCGAGTCAGCTTCCAAAGCCATCCCATGGTCAGTCACCTCCCTCTGACTACTTTCTAGTCTTCTTTCTTTCTTTTTTTTTTTTTTTTTTGGTGGTACTGGGGATTGAACTCAGGCCCTTGCGCTTGCCAGGGAAGCATTTATTCCACCGAGCCATCTCTCCGGCCCCAACCATCTTCCCGGCTCCCCTCTGACTACTTTCTAGCAGTTCCTGGGGCAGATGGAGCTGGTGCAGCGACAGCGAGATGGGTGCCTCTCCTTGCCGTCACTATCCTCTGTGCCCTGGGCAGGGCAGGAGGAGGAACACGGCCCTTGGCAGGTGCAGGAGCCCACGAGCTGAGGGATGAGTGGGGACTGCGTGACCTAGGGGCGGGGCCAGTCCAGAGCTGGTCCACACCGGTGTGTGGGCACCGTGGAAAGGGGACAGCAAGTTGTGTCATCTCCCTGGGCCCCAGGTCCCCATCTACTGAGCAGGGCCACCCACATTTTTTCACCTTAGGAAGCACCCAAGCTTCAGCTTCAGCACAGGCGCAAGGGCCCCCGCAGGAGCAGCAGGAGCAGGCACTAGTTGAGCAGCATCCAGGATGGTCGCCCTCATCTGCTGGCCGCAGAAGGCTGCACCCCTCAGGACCACAGGCAGGAGCTACAGGACTGGCCCTCTTCGTTGGCTGGGTTCTTCAGAGAGTGCCTTCTGCAGCTGGGCGTGGTGACACGTGCCTGTAATCCCAGCATGGGGGTGGGGGATGGCGGCAGAAGCAGGGGGATCATCATTGCAACCTCAGGACCGGCCTGGGCTACAAAGTGAGCTCAAGGCCAGCCTGAACTGCATAGTGAGACCCCGTCTCAACAAGGCCAAAAAAAAAAAAAAAAGCTTATCCCTTGGCCTGTCTGCCCACATGAAATGGGGCACTGCAGCTTCACTTGGGGGAGGCCCATGTGGACAAAGCCCTGCTCAGTACCTTGCCTGGGCTGTGGCATTATGATGTCCCCTTCACCCTCTGTGAAAGCACCGCTCCTGCTTTCTCCAAACACTTTTTTTTTTTTTTTTTTTTTTTTTTAAACATTTATTGGGCTGGTGAGATGGCTCAGTGGTCTAAAGCGCCTACTTAGAACAAATTTAGCAAACACAGGGACCGCGGTTCAATCCCCCAGCACCACAAGCCGGCTAGCCCCGCCCCCTCGTGGGCTGAGCTGGCCACACACACACACACACACACACACACACACACACACACACACAAATTAAAATGAAACATTTACTTGTGGGTGTGTGGCCAGCTCAGCCCACCAGGGGGCGCGGCTGGCCGGCATGTTATGCTAGGGGATCAAACCGCGGTCCCTATGCTTTGCCAAGCTTGTCCCAAGTAGGTGCTTTAGACCACTGAGCCATTTCTCCAGCCCCTCTCCAAACACTTTTAACAGGTAGCCTTAGTGGGCTGGGCTCTGTGGTGCACACCTGTGTTCTCAGCGCTGGAAAAGGCTGAGGCGAGATCACCGCAAGTTCAAGGCCAGGCTGTGCTACATCGTGAGTTCAAAACCACCCTGAACTACAAAGCGATACCCTGTCTCAAAATACAAAAACATTCAATCCCGGGTTCTGCCAGAAAAACAAAAACAAAAACAAAAAAACACCAGGTTGGGGTGTTTTTTCTCTTTTACCCCTGGATGGTTAGCTTGTGCTTAAAAGTGCGACTTCAGGTCACATGTTCATTTTTTTTCCTTTTTGTTCCCGACTACAGATGTCATTTACAGTTTAGAAGGCATTGCCATTATGCAGATCCTCCGATTTTCAGCGAATTCTGAGAGAAATCTTTCGCATGGTTCTTGCAGTTCTGGGTCAGAAAACTCCATTTCCCAAGGGGCCTGGCGGCTCCCGTCTTTCTCCCGCTCTTTCCGGTTTAACAATAAGGCCCCGCCTCCTCCGCACGTTCTGGCCAATAGCAGTCCAAATCCTCACGCCCATCACAAAAAGAACGGGGGCGGGAACGTTATAGGAGCCACGGGGGTGGGTCTGGCGGCTGGCGTTTGGGTTGTGGAGTTGGAGAAGCAGATTCGCGTGGCCGGCGAGTAGAGAATTAATTTCGTCAGGATTCAGGATTTGCGGGAAACGTTCGTCACTGGTCAAGAAAAGGCCTCGTGTGAGACGACAGTAATTTCCAGCCTCGAGTCCTGCTCAGTACCGTCCTCGGCGTTTTCCCTCAGAGAAGGAATCTGCTGCCGGACTCGCGAGTCTGGTGACTCGGCAGGAGAAGATGGCGACGGTGTGGGATGAAGCCGAGGTGGGTGCGGGAGGGCTGGGGGCTCTCCGCGCTGGGGCTGGCGGGATCCGGAACCCTCGGAAGAAGGCAGGGGTCTTGACTTCTTCATCGTGGGTTCGGGGTAGGGAAATGGAGTCCACGGATGGGCTTGTGAAATGCGGGGTGCCTGTCCCGGGTCAAAGTAAATGCAGAAAACATTTTTTTCTCTAACAGCAAGATGGAATCGGGGAGGAGGTGCTCAAGATGTCCACAGAGGAGATCATCCAGCGCACACGGCTGCTGGACAGCGAGATCAAGGTGGGCGCAGCTCGCAGCTCCTCTCGGCTTCTTTCCCTGGGGCCCGCGGCCCCCTTGTGGGCCAGGAGTAGAGACAGGAAAAGCGACGAGGTGGTGGGGGACCGACCAGGTCTGAGATCAGGAGTGTCAGACTGCCCTTGCCAGCCAGGTGTTTATTCCAGTCAAGAGCTCTCCCTCCTGCAAATGTCCATTTTACAGATGAGCAAACCTAGGCACAAGTTTTTTCTTTTTCTATGGATTAGGCCCCCAGCTTTTGCTAAGAGGCAGAACCCCGAACCTATACCCACCTGAGATGCCTGCTTCACCAGGAGGTTTCAAAACTGTTGGGCTCAGTGGTGCAGCCTCTAATCCCAGAGATAGGGAGACTGAGGTGGAAGGGTCGGAGTTCAAGGCTAACCTGGGCTACACAGTGAGTTCAAGGTCAGCCTGGACTGGTTAGTAAGACCCTATCACTCTACTGAGCTATCTCTCCGGCCTCTGGTTTTCTGCTGGATGTGGGCACAGGCAGGCTTTGTCTTCTGAAAGCCTTAGATCTGGGTAGACAGGTGCAGGAGGGATCCCTGGGCAGCCTGGACCCCCACTTATGACAGAACCCTACCTTAGCTGAGCCAGGGCTAATCACTGGCTTTCACCACCCTCATCTTAGATAATGAAAAGTGAGGTGTTGCGAGTCACCCATGAACTTCAAGCCATGAAAGACAAGATCAAAGAGAACAGTGAGAAAATCAAAGTGAACAAGACGCTGCCATATCTTGTCTCCAACGTCATTGAGGTGTGTTTGTATGTGGAGGGAGGAGGGGCTCTGGGCTTAGAGACAGCCTGGGATGGGTCTACTAGGAATAGGGGGGTGGAAATCCTGAGGCCAACTGCTTGCTACATCTCTGCCTTTTAGGTCCCTCAACCCCCTGCCCCCCCCACACTCAAGTCCCACGGAGGGGTTTCTGGGGTGGGTGAGCTCTATGCAGAGAGGCAGCATTTAAACAGAGAGCTTTTCTGAAATTTAAAAAAAAAAAAAATTTGGTACAGGGTCTTGTTACGCAGCTCAAGACTTGTGATTTTCCTGTGTCTGGTTTCATTTGCTGGCACGGCATGTGGTACTGGGGATCGAACCCAGGTCCTTGTGCTTGCCTGGCAGGCACTTAGACAGCCAAGCTATCTTCCTGGTTGTTTCTTTTCTTTAAAAAAAATTTTATTTGTGTGTGTGTGTGTGTGTGTGTGTGTGTGGCCAGCTCAGCCCACCAGGGGGCGGGCAGGGGGTGGGGCTGGCTGGCATGTGGTGCTGGGGGATGGAACCGCGGTCCCTGTGCTTTGCTAAGCTTGGTTTGTTTTTTTTTTTAATTTTATTTGTGTGTGGGGGGCCAGCTCAGCCCACCAGGGGGCGGGGCTGGCTGACGTGGTGCTGGGGGATTGAACCTCGGTCCCTGTGCTTTGTTACAGCTTGTTCTAAGCAGGTGCTTTAGACCACTGAGCCATTTCACCAGCCCCTGCTAAGCTTGTTCTAAGTAGGTGCTTTAGACCACTGAGCCATCTCACCAGCTTGCGGTTTTTGTTTCTTTAAAGCATAGTTTCATTGTGTAGTCCAGGCTGATCTTGAACTTGCTGTGTAGCCGAGACTAACCTTCTAGAGCCTCCTGCCTCAGTCTCCTGAGTGCTGGGATCCCAGGTGTGAATCCCCATGCTCAGCCTGCACAGAGATCTTAGCATCACTGTGATTTATCGATCACACCTTGGCTAGGTTCAGGGAATAAAGTAGAGCCAACCCTGTTGGTGTCAGTGTCGGTGATTCTCTTGGCCTGGGAAGTTCGAGGGGCTGAGTGCTTTCCCTTCTCAGCTGCTGGACGTTGACCCCAATGACCAAGAGGAAGATGGTGCCAATATTGACTTGGACTCCCAGAGGAAGGGCAAGTGTGCAGTGATCAAAACCTCCACGCGCCAGGCAAGGCGGCTACCGGGGAGCTCGGGCGGGGGGTGGGGGAGAAGGCCCTGAGGACAGTGACCCAGACTGCCCATTTTCCCCACAGACGTACTTCCTGCCTGTGATCGGGTTGGTGGACGCTGAAAAGCTGAAGCCGGGAGACCTGGTGGTGAGTGGTGCCTGAGCTGAGGCAGGGCCTGGGTCCTACCCTTGCCCCATGCTCCCCCTCCTTCTAAATCTTGGCAGTGCAGCCCTGAGAATCTGCTTGCTGGTTGTTAGTTTTTGAGTTTTGAGACAGGGTCTCTCTAGGTGGCTAAAGCTGGCTTTGAACTTGAGAACCTCCAGTTTCAGCTTCCTGGGCCAGATCCCAGGCCTGCACCACCACTGCTGACAGCCTGCTTGCTCTTGATTTTTCTTCTTACTCTTTTTGAGACATGGTTTTGCTATGCAGTTTGGGCTGTCTTGGGCTCACTTTGTAGCCCAAGCTGGTCTCAAATTTGCAATAATCCTCCTGCCTCAGCTTCCCAAAGTGCTGGTGCTCTTGACTCTTGATTCTTTTTGGAAGGAGGTACAGGGAATTGAACTCAGGACCTTGCGCTTGCAGGCAGGTGCTGTGTTGATCTTGATTTTTTTTTCCATAATTTTATTGAGATGCCCTTGATTTTTGTATCGCTGATTCTGTGTTTTGCTTTCATGCTGTGGGCGCCCTAGCAGCTCATGAGGTAGAGCCTGAGCTGTGACAGAGCTGAAGGCTCTGTGTTGTGTGTCCAGGGTGTGAACAAAGATTCCTACCTGATCCTGGAGACCCTGCCTACAGAGTATGACTCGCGCGTGAAGGCCATGGAGGTGGATGAGAGGCCTACAGAGCAGTACAGTGACATTGGCGGCCTGGACAAGCAGATTCAGGAGGTATGCTTCCTGGTTCTCAGCCGCGTCCTGTGCCTGGCAGCCTCCTGATGGCGTGGCAGGGTAGGGGCTCAGGTGACAGATGATTCAGCAAGGCTGTAGAGTGTTGGGGCTGGCACCAGGTCTGACTTGGGTTCCTGTGCTCTTCTGCCTCTGCCTTCTGGTCCCAGAGAGGCAGTAGTCAGCACTGGGTGTGTGCAGGGTCAACCGCCCGTGTCTCTGAATGGCAGGTGGGCTGTGGCGGTAGGAGCCCTCCTCAGGGCTTCGCTCCCCTCACCCAGGTCCTCTCCCTGGCAGCTGGTGGAGGCCATCGTCTTGCCGATGAACCACAAGGAGAAGTTTGAGAACTTGGGGATCCAGCCTCCAAAGGGGGTGCTGATGTATGGGCCACCGGGGACTGGGAAGACACTGCTGGCCCGAGCCTGTGCGGCGCAGACCAAGGCCACCTTCCTGAAGCTGGCCGGGCCCCAGCTGGTACAGATGTTTATCGGGGACGGGGCCAAGCTGGTCCGGGATGCCTTCGCACTGGCCAAGGAGAAAGCACCGTCCATTATCTTCATTGACGAGCTGGATGCCATTGGCACCAAGCGGTAAGTGGTGCTGGGGACACCTAGGGCTGGCCTGGAGACTCCCGGCCTTCACCTCCTTTCTATCCTGTGCCCTCCTTCCAGGCAAGGGCTGCTTTGCGGCTGGGTCCTAAACTCCTCCTTCTCCTCCTGCTCTCCAGCACCTGTTCTCCTCACACTTGCTGGCTTGTTCCTCTTAGTACAGAAACTGGTCACCCTGTGCTCTTGGCCTTGATCTAAACCCCAGCCCCTATTCTCCTGGTCTTGGGCCACTTCTCCTCTGAGGACAAGTCTGGGCTGGGCTGTAGCCCTGCGCGGCTGTGCTGCCACTTGGCCTGGAGCAGTATGCTGAGCACAGATCCTGGCTGGGTACCTGTTCCCGTGAGCCTCCAGGCTCTGAGTGCTGCTTCTGTTGGTTTGCCAACCTGTGTGGCAGTCGCTGTGCCTGAGCCCAGCTTGGGCACCTCCAGGATGCCTCCCTGCCTGGCTCGTGGTGGAGGCCATAGCCTCATAGTGTCTGAACTCCTGTGCCCTGCAGCTTTGACAGTGAGAAGGCCGGGGACCGCGAAGTGCAGAGGACCATGCTAGAGCTTCTGAACCAGCTGGATGGCTTCCAGCCCAACACCCAAGTCAAGGTGAGTGTCCTGGGCGTGGCAGAGCCACCTCGGGTCACCAGTGAGCAAGTGTGGAAGCTGGACTTGGAGCTCGCCCTTCCTGAGCGGCCCCCACCTCTTAGGTGGCTTCCTGCCTCTCATGGCCATGTCTGTGTGGGTGGATGTCTCGCTCATGTGTTTAAATCTCTGCTTCTCTCCTCCTTCAGGTGATTGCAGCCACCAACAGGGTGGATATCCTGGACCCTGCCTTGCTCCGCTCAGGCCGCCTAGATCGAAAGATTGAGTTCCCGATGCCCAATGAGGAGGCCCGGGCCCGGATCATGCAGATCCACTCTCGGAAGATGAACGTCAGGTGAGTGGACCCTCAGCCAGTGGAGCAGGTCTCCCCAGCCAGCAGGACTGCAGTGGGGTCCAGCCCAGAGTTGAGACCTGGGGTCAGAGGGTTCAGCAGATGGCAAACCTCCTGGGGTTGTGGGGAGGATTGTATGGAACAGCAGTGGCACAGTGCTGGGCACAGGAGGACAGCAGGGTCCTGAGGACAGCAGCCATCCTTCACGTCATCCCTTACCCTCCTCCCTAGCTGCAGGCCCGGTCAGTCCCTGGAGTTCTGGGCACTGCAGTAGCCTGGTCTGCCCCGCTATTAGCTAGCCAGGCTGTGGATGAGGCACCTGGCTGGGCAGTGTGGGGGCTGCAGAGGGCTCCCTTCCCCTCCCCAAGTTACAGCCCGTGCTGTGTCCTCTCTCTAGCCCGGATGTGAACTACGAGGAGCTGGCCCGCTGCACCGATGACTTCAATGGGGCCCAGTGCAAGGCCGTGTGTGTGGAGGCGGTGAGTGGCAGGGCCTTGGGTGGTGGCTCCAGCTGGACAGGACATGCTGTCTGGTGTGGGGGCAGGGGCCTGGGCTTGGGGTGCAGGGCGGGCCCCCAGACCTGTCTGTCTGGCTGCAGGGCATGATCGCCCTGCGCAGGGGCGCCACAGAGCTGACCCACGAGGACTACATGGAGGGCATCCTGGAGGTGCAGGCCAAGAAGAAAGCCAACCTGCAGTACTATGCCTAGGCCACTGCTGACTGCCTCTCAATAAATGGCCCTGTCTGCCACCTGTCTCCTTCCTGGGCACCAGGGAAGATCGGGGACAGAACGCAGGCCCTTCTGTCCCCAGCCAGCAAGGGCCCCACACCAGTTGTTGCTGCAGCTGCTGCCTGGGGCCTGCGGGCCTCCCTTACCCCAAGTCCTGCCTCAGCCCTCGCCCCACCCACTGCCCCCTCAAAGCTGTGCAAGGCTCATTGGTCCTGCAGCTTAGAGGGAAGGGCTGGAGAAGGTATCAGGGTTTTCCTCAGGAATCACTGAGCAACATCCCCAACCCTTTTTATTTTGAGAGTCTTGCTATGTTGCCCAGGCTGTCCTTGGTATTGCAGTCCTCCTGTCTTAGCCTGCTGAGTAGATGGGATTATGGGTATATGCTTGCTATTGTACTTTCCTTTTTCTTGGTCTCTTTGACACAGATCTCACTATGCAGTTCAGACTGGGCCTGAACTTGCTCTGTAACCCAGGCTGTCAAACTTGTAACCATCCTCTGCAGCCTCTGCCTCCCAAGTGCTTTATTACTGTACTGTAGCTTCTTTGTCCATCTGTGAGCTCTGGCCCTTGGCTTGGTGACTTGTAAAGCCAGGTTTTGGGTCTTTGTCCTTCAGTGTCTCCCTTGTTTCCTGGCTTGAGGACCTCCTGTTTCCCCATCTGCCCACATTACCGTCTAGGGTTTTTTGGCTGAAAAAGAGCCTTGAGCAAGATCCAGGCTGACACCCTCCTAGCTCCAAGCAGTTCTCTCCCTAGCCGCCCTGGTGGCAGTGGCATTGGGTTGCCCCAGGGGCCTGTTGCCTGCAGCACTATGTCTCCATCTGCTTTAGTCGCCCCTGAATGGCCCTTCAGAACATCAAGAGGGGCCGGGGAGATGGCTCAGTGGAATAAGTGCTTCGTTGGCAAGCGCAAGAGCTTGAGTTCAATCCCCAGTTCCGCAAAAGAACATCAAGAACTTCAGCCACTGACCTCTGGGAGGTTGGCTTCGCAACTCTGCCTTCTGCTCCCCCAAGGTCCTGGCTCAGCTTGATAGCCTGTCTGGGACACCTTGGTGACCCTGCAGACACTTGGCACTCTTCATGGTCTCTCAGATCTATGAGACAGCCCCTCCCTCCGTGCCTGGCAGCCTGGAGCACTGGTTTGGGGAGGTGGGGCTGCTTGGGACTCCAGGCCAGGGTTGAGGGGCTTCTAGGGTAGTCTTGCTGGGCCAGCCACACCCAGGCAGTGCAGACATTGCCCCTTCAAGTGGTTGGCTGAGGAGCTGGTCTGGTTTCCTGCTTGCACAGGCTGGCCAGGTGGCTTGGAGTCAGGCCTGCCTTGGGCCTCCAACGTTCCCAGGGCACTGTGGGGAAGCAGCGCCCCCTGGTGCCTGCTGCTCTAGTGCACTCATCCCTTTGAGGTCAGATGTGCAGAGTACTTTGGTGGGATGTCTTTCCTTGATTAAATGAGGATGGGGGCTGGGGCCAAGAGCTCTGGCCCTTGGCCTGGTGATTTGTAAGGCCAGGTTTTGGGTCTTTGCCCTTCAGCGTTCCCCCTTGTTTCTTGGCTTGAGCATCTCCTGTTTCCCCATCAGCCCCCATTACCGTCTCAGGGTTTTTGTTTTTTTGTTTTTTTTTGGCTGAAAAAGCTTTGAGCAAGATCCAGCCTGACACCCTGATACCTTTTCAGCTTTCCGGCCTGAAAAGCTCTGGCTTTTCAGGTTCATCAGTAAACAGGGCTGTAATCCCAGCATTCAGGAGGCTGGGGTAGGAGGATCACTGAGTTCAAGGCCAGCCTGAACTGCAAAGGGAGATCCTGGCTCCAAAAAGACCAAAAAAGAAAACCCTTGCTCATGGGGATCCTTTAGGGTGCCTGTCGCCAAGCTTCTTATCCATGGTCGCTAATACAGGCACCGCAAGACGGACCTGGCTGCGGGTTTTGGTCTACGCATCTTTATTCTATGCTGTCCACAAGACAGGTATTAACAGATGCACGTGGCCCACAGCCGAGCACCCTAGGGCCTCCCAGACCCACTCGGCAGCAGCCGCTGGAAGCGCTGGGATTATGGCTTCAGAGCACAGGAGCACATTCCTGAGTGCTGACGGCAGGGGCGGTCCCACCCAGCCATCTGCAGGCCCTGTGCCCACGGGAGCGCCTCCCTGAGCTGGCGGGAGGGGCCTGCGTGCCTATGTGGCAGCTCCAGGTGGCAAGAGCCATGGTGCTGTCGGCGCTGGCAAGGGGGCAGGAACTTGGGCACCAGCCTGCCCTTTTCTTTGGCTGGAGAGCTGGCGCAAGGTGGGCTGGGAAGGTGGACCTGGGGGAAAGCGCCTGCCTCAGCCTCTGTCGTGGGCTGCCCGGGCAGGGTGTGGCTAGAGGGATACACTGCAGAAGGCTGCTCATCTCGGGTCCCCTAGGCTCAAGCCATCCACTCTCTTGGGTTCTGGGTTCTGTAGGGACCAGCGCTACCACTTCTCACTGCTCCCCGGGCAGGCACGAGAAAACCAGCAGCAGGGAGCGCAGGCAGCATCACAGTGTTGGTCTTGCACCGCAGCCACAGTTTGCACATGCGTACACGCACACGCTCGCAGGCACACGCAAGCTCACTGGCCAGTCCAAATCTTACTGCTGCGCGGAGTGGGCAGCGGCGGGCAGGTCACTCAATGTAGACAGAGAGCAGCACCATTACCAGGACGCCGGCGCCGAGCAGAAGCACCTGCTGCAGGGACAGCCTGAGAGAAAGGGGTAGCTCAGGACCTGGCTGGGACGGGTCCCATGGGCGTCCCCGCAGGTCACTCACCACAGGTCATCTTCCTCCAAGAGGTCAGGTAGCACGTTCACCAGGGCAATGTAGAGGAAGCCACCGGAGGTGAAGGGCAGGACCCAGGCCACCGTCTCCTCTGCACAGGAGGAGACCCCAACTGGCTGCAAGCCCAGGGCACAAGGTCCTGACCCTGCCCTGGGGGAGACTGCCACCCTCACCCTCTGACAGCACCACCCTCGCCCGTACCTACGCCCTTGGGGGACTGCGTACAGATGGCGAAGCAGGCGCCCAGCAGGCCCCCCAGCGCTGTGGACAGCTGCAGCTTGGCGGCGCTCCAGCGGTCGAAGCCAGCCCGGAGCAGGATGGCAAAGTCACCCACCTAGGGGTAGGCCACATGTTCACCTCGAGGCCTTGGTAGGCCCAGGTCTCCAACCCCATCCCCGCCCGAGGCCAGCAGTGCACTCACCTCATGTGGGATCTCGTGCAGGACGATGGCCACGGTGGTCAGGAGCCCCATCTACGGGAAGGGGCTCCTGAGTCCAGGGTAGTGCCAGGGGCTGCACCCTGCCCACCTGCCTGTGCTCAACAAGCATTTTTGCTGCCCCAAGTTGCCTCCTGCTGGCCTCTGCTGACTACTGGATGACAGCAGGGACCAAAAGGGACAAGGGGCCACCTCTCATGCAGCTGGCAGCCTAGAGGGGCTGGGAGAGCAGTGGCAGAGGGCTCGCAGAAGTTGAGGACCAGAGGACAAGCTTGTGTGCTTACAGGGAGAAGAGCCTGTGAAGCAGAGGGCATGCCGTGGGGCCCGTGGGGCCACCGGACGGAGGGCAGGGGCAGTGGAGATGCATCTAGGAGCAGCACCCCCAAGCTTGGTAGCTTGAGAGAGGCTCTCCAGAGGGGACAGCAGTGTGGCTTGTGACAAAAGGTGCATGCAGGTGATCCAGGTATAATCCTAGCACTCTGCGAGGCTGCAGCAGGAGGATCAAGTTCCAAGCCCCATCTAGGCAATTTAGTAATTTAGCAAAACCCTGCCTCAAAATAAATAACAGGAGCTGAAGACAAAGCTCAGTGCAGGGGCTGGGGAGATGGCTCAGTAGGATAAGTGCTTGACTGGCAAACGCAAGGATCTGAGTTCAATCCCCAGTTCCGAAAAAAAAAAAAAAAAAGCTCAGTGCAAATGCCCCAGGTTCAATCCCCAGGACTGGAGTGGGGCAGTGTGGGGAGATGAGGTGGCGGCTACGGCAGTGTCCAGGAGAGCAACTGAGACTGTAGCAGGCTTGGGGGGTAAAACCAGCTGGTTAATACAGGTGCAAGGTGCACACTGCATAGGCCCAAGGCCGCTGCCCAGCGTGGACTCACCTTCTTGCTCACAAGGAAGCTGGCAGCCACAGCCAGCCCGTGGGTGAAGTTGTCTACAGTGTTGGCCAGCAGGTTGAGATAGCCACTGACCTGGGAGGGGAGAGAGCAGGGCTGAGCTGGGTGGATCGCTCTGCAGGAGGAGGCGCTGGGCAGGCCACTCACTTTGAGGTTCCGGACTGCGGCATTCAGGCCAGGTTGGGCTGCCACCAGGGTGAGACGGTGGCCACCATTGAGCATGGCAGCAGTGGAGTCTTTGCTGGACGCCTAGGGCCAGGAGAAGGAGAAAAGAGACAGATGCTCTCAGCTGGCTGGGGTGTACCAGGGAGTCCCAGCCTGACAAAAGGAATGGCCTCTGCCAGGGCTGGACCTGTGCTACCCACTGAGCTGGTGCCCCCAACTCAGTAGCCTTTGGTCTGTGCTGCTGCAACCTTCACTGCCAGCAACGCTGCCACCCCACCCCAGTCCTCTCAAAGCAGTGGGTCCCTCCCCAACTGCTCCTGGGCAAGAGGCCAGGAGACCCCTCTTTTGGGGGGGCTTAACTCAGAACTTGAGCCTCCAAGCCTGGCTGTCAGCCAGAACATGGACTGGCATAGCCAAGCGCTGCTGGGATTTGGGGCTTACCTGCCTGGACTCCTCCTCCTTGCTGTCCAGGAACAGCTTCTCCAGCGCCAGGAAGGTCAGGAGGCCGGCAATGACCCAGAGCCCCAGCTGCTGCTGCTGCTGCAGGCTTTGGCCCTCACCTCCTGCAAGGGAGCACTATGTGCTGTGCCGTGCCCATGTCCCTCCCAAGGGCCTGGGCAGGAACAGGCTGGTGGCTCAGGACTGCCACATGGGCCAGAGAACTGGGTGGAGGAGCATGACCCTTCCTGGCAAGTTCCTTGCCAGATTCTTCTCCCCAAATCCTTCCCATCCCAAGGTGCAGACCAGCCATGAGCACCAGCACCCACCCACTCCTGCCACCGGCAGAGCTAGGGCTGCACTCACCAGGTCTGGCGCTGCAAGTGTAGCCCCAGGCCTCCGGCAGCAAGTGCAGGAACACGTTGCCTAGCAGGCCCCCCAAGGCGAAGCTGAGCAGCTGCTTCAGGCGCTGGGCCCCAGCTGCACGACAGGGATATGGGTTGGAGGACTGAGGCCTGGGTACTGGAGGTGCCTCTGCCCACCTGGCTCATTGGACTTTCTACTGGCTCCAGCAGCTCACCCTTCCCGAAGGTGGCGTCTGGCTGGCTGCAGCTCTTCCAGGCCCGGCCCCACTGGCCAGAAAGGGCTGTGGGATCTGCAGGAACTCCTTGCAGTCTGGGGGCCCCTGCTGTGGCCCCTACCCCAGCCTGATAAGGAGAGGGGGCTTCTGGGCCTCACAGGTCCCAGCTCCCAAACCCACCAGCCGGTGAGCTGCAGACAACTGAGACTCAGTTTCCCTGTCAGTACACTGGATCTTGTGAGAATTAAATCACTGTACTTTTATTGTTGTTTTTGACGGAACCGGGGATTAAACTCAGACCCTTGTGCTTGCCAGGGAAGCGCTTATTCTACTGAGCCATCTCCCTGGCCTCTTGTGAAAAGTAAATGACATTATCGAGTGCTTATTAAATGGAAATTTCTTCTGAGCCACTGTCACAGAAAAGTGGCAGGGATATGGAGGCATTTGCAACCTGGACAGCATGCAAATTGGAGGGTGCTCTATGAGTGACAGGTTCAACCCCTTGATCTCATAGAACTGAGGCTGAGGCCATTGGGTATGGCGGGCGTTGGGGTCCCAGGGGAAGCTGCCACTTCCACGCTGTGCATCACTCTGCATATCCCTTGTGATACACAGCCAGCAGTCCCCACGCTGACCCTGCACCACACAGGAGCTTGGGACCATCTGCCTTAGAGAGCTGTTCCTAACAAAGCCCCAGGCCTGGTCCTGCCTCCAGGTCCCTCAGGTTGGGAGGACGGGCTCCTGCAGCTTAGCCTCTCCTGTGCAATCTTCCTCATCCTTGTCCACAACACTTGTCTGCACACGTGATGTGCAAGCAAGGAAAAGCACCCACGCATGCCATGCTCCAGCTCCTGGGCCTCCGTCCTGGGGTGGGCCTGCCAGGAGGGAAGGCTTTGAACCTTGGCACCCAGCCCAGTCAGAGAGGAGCAGCATCCGGCACTCAGATAGGGCTGCGTGTGTACCTGCTCACTCCATCTTCCCACAAATAGCCATGAGACAGGTATTATTATGCCTTCTTTGAGGGGTGCTGGGATGGAACCCAATGCCTATTGCAGGGATGCTGGGATCAAACCTAGGGCCTTGCATTTGCCAGGCAAGCACTTTACGGCCACCGAGCCACATCCTCACCCCTGTTGTCCCCATTTCTAAGGCTGGGAGGCTGACGCAGCATGAAGGTGAGTACCTGCCCTGTGCTACTTAGCTGCTGAATGGCAGAGCCAGTATGGTGGCCAGGCTGCCTGCAGCCCCTGCTCATAACAAGTCTGACGAAGCCAGGTGTGCTGGCACTCAGGAGGCTGGGCATGGGAACTGCTGAGAGTTTGAGGCCAGGCTGGGCTACACAGTGAGCCGCTACCTTAACAATAGGGGCAAACAACGAGGTTGGGATGTAGCTCAGTACAAAGGCCCTGGGTTCAGTCCCTGATACAAAGAAAAAGAAAAGTGGGGTGAGTGTTTGCTGACCCAGACAAACGGCTGTGCTCACAGGAACAAGGTGACTTGTCCCCATCTCAGACACACTGACCTGGACCATGACACCAGGGTCTCCCATCCCACTGGCCACCCCTCAGTGTCCCTGTCGTAACCCACCTTCTGAGCGTAGCATGGTTCCCATCTCCAAGGGAATGACAAGCAGCGGGAATACACCCGTGAGCCCCACGATGAGGGAGCCGAGGAGGGAGCAGACCCAGGTGTCCAGCCTGTCGCTGCTCAGCAAGGCCCCCCAGGACTCGCTGTCCTTGCTGTCCAGGCGACAGGCTGCTGCGGACCCCCAGTTCTGGAGAGCTGGCTGGGTGCCTTCCGCCCTTCCCAGCAGCTGCAGGGCAAGCGTGGTGAGGAAGAGCAGCCTTTGGCTGGCCATGCCACAGCCAGGGAAGGGACATCCAGGCATGCCACGTGCTGAAAAACAGAGGCCACTTAGGTGGGCAGCCAGCCTTGCCTGCACATCTGCTCAGGTCACGAGGCATCCCCACCAGCCCCAAAGGCCAGGGCGCCCACCCACCTGCTGGGCGCCCAGCTGGGGCACAGCTCCTCCATTCGCTCTCTCCCAAGCACTACGCATTTTTTCCTTCTGAGCTAGCTCCGACAGACCGTGTAGGCTGGCGCGCGGCGTCTGCCTGAGGCTAAACTTTCCCTAATGACTGGGTGAGGCGCTGGCTCCCTCCAGCCACCGGCAGGCCTGGCCCAGAGGGCTGCTCAGGCTGCCAGAAGAGGTTTGGTTCCTGGCTGTGCCCTGCTGAGGACCCTCGACATTGAGGGCAGCATGGTCTAAGCTGACAGGGCAACACCAAGGGCAAGGAGAACCAAGCGGTGAAGCTAGCCAGGACCATCAAACCTCTTCCTGGGAAACAGCCGTGTGTCCCTGGGGGCACCAGGAAGTGAGGCTGCGACTAGAGGATCTTGCGGTCTGCAGATGCCTCACAGATGTGAGCTTTGAGCTGTTGGCAGGCAATTCCTAGAGTCCCTGAGCCTCAGAGTCCTTGTGCCGAGGGGCAGGTCTGGGTACTGCCTCCCTCAGAGCCAGGCAGATGAGAGGTGGAAAGGCAGGTGGATGGCATGGAGGAGGCACAGGCCCCCTCCCCAGTAGGGATGTGCCCTGCCCGCGGATCCCAGGACAGAATGTGCGTGAATCAGCCAAGGAGAAGTTCAGTGTGGAAACTCGGGCGTGTGATTTAAGTGATGTGTGGCCCTGTCCTGTGGTGCTGTGACCTTGGGCAGCCTCAGTTTCCTCCTTTTTTTTTTTTTTTTTTTTTTTGCTGAGGAAGTGGCAGGGAGAGGACACCGCCGCCCCTGGGGTCTGGGAAAGATGCCCCGGGCTGGGATCTGCGGCCTCAGCTCCGGAGACCCCGTGGGCCGGGCTGCGCACCAGGGCTGCACCGGCCGGGCCGGGCCGGGTACCAAGTGGGCCAGCAGGGAGGCGAGGGGCCGCAAGCGGGGGAGAGGAACAGAGCGCAAAGAGAGGGGGTTGCCAGGGGAGGGAACGAAAGGGGACAGCGGGAAGGAGGAGAATTGAGGGAGCCAGACGGGTGGGGGGGCGGAGGAGGACGGCAGCTCGCGGGGACAGAAGGCGCCCGGAGCAGCAAGTCGGACCCGGACTCTGCGAGGCGCGGGGCTCAGGCCGGGACTCGCCGGGCCAGGGTCCCGAGGCCGGGCGTCACTCACCGTGCGGCAGCGGCAGCGGCGGAGCTCCGGGCGGGCCGGGCCATCCAGCTGCGGAGCCGCGCCCCGCCCCGCCCGCCTCTGCCCCGCCTGCCCCACCGCCCCCGGCCCGGCTCGGAGCCGCCCCGGAGCGCGGCCACGTCAGTCGGGGCTGCCCGGAACCGACGCGCCGCACCCTACAGGGGCACCCGGAGCCGCGGCGGAGTGCACTTCCGCCTCGGCACTACGGGGGACCCGCGCGAAAGGCGCACTTCCGCTCGTGTGTGGGCGGGGGAGATGAGCGGAAGTGGGAGCTCCGCGGGCGCTGAGCTCAGCCCCGCGGTGCCCGGCTTGGGTGCCCGTCCGCGGGAGACCGCGAGCGACGGCGCGGCGGTGCTCGCGGGTCTGGCGCTCGTCTCCGACGGCACGCAGTTCCGCACGCAGCCGCACGGGGGCGCACTGGGCCGCCAGGAGGGCTCCAGCCGCGGCGCCGGCCGCGATGTTCCTCGCGCGGGGAAAGGGGAAGTGCCTGCCGCAGGGAGGGGCCTGGCCCGGGAGCCGCAGAAGAGGGAATTTTATTCTTACTCATCGAATTATTTTTATGCTTTGGTTTTTCACTTGGAACCTCAGGCCACTGTCTCCAGAACTTGTAACCCTTTGGGGTCCAACACCAGGCAGCTCGGCCCTGTGCCTCGGAATCCCACACCTCTGCTCGCATACCAGTGAGGGCGCGTCTAGGTGTTACCATGGCAGCCGAGCCTTCGTGAACGCCTATCACGTGCCACCCACGCGGCTTGCGGGAATCTCGCCTAGTCCTCTCGCTCTCCTTAGATTATGTGCATGCGTGGTACTGACGGCGGAGTCCAAATTCGCACCCAGACCCCGCGACATCACCTGGCTCTCAGGCCAGGCCAGCCTGGGGGAGCTCCGAAAGGGCGCGCAGGTGCTTGGCGCAGTAGGGCCGTGACCTGATGGGGCTGTGCCCACCGGGGAGGACACTTTTGCGCCCCTGAGCAGGCGCCCTCCTACCTCAGGCCCAGCTCCCTCCAACACCAGGCGCACAGCTCTGCAGCGTCCCGAGCCAAGTGGTCGCCGGCGCAGCACCTCTGCGGTGCAGTCCCACAAACACATTAGGCCCTCATATGCAAAGCACTTCACAATAGGCAAATGATTTCACAATAATACGGTCAGCATTCCTGCCTGTGGCAAGCGATGGGCCAGGCCTGGCTGTAATGCCCGCTTGCTCACTGCCCTTTCCCCTGGGTCTGGCATTTCTACCATCAAACTAACATCTCCTGGTGGTTCTGGTGGTGCGCATTTAGCTCCCAGCATTTTAGCTCAGGAGGCTGAGGCAGGAAGGTTGCTGCGAATTCAAGGGCAGCCTGGGCTACAGAGGGAAACCTTGTCTCCAAACAAACAAACCAAAAATCATCTAGGGTGTGGGGGTGGAACAAGCCAGAGCAGGCTGACCAGGCACACAGGGGCTGTTTAAAACGCTGACTTGGTGTGAAAGCACTGTAGAAGTAGGGAGGGCGGTCACTAGAGGCTAGGACTGCGAAGGGAGAGGCAGCCAGAGGGAGCCACCAAAACAGTCAGGAGGAAGAAGCTGGCGCTCAGCAGCACAGTGGCTGACTGCACTTTACAGCAGTTCCTTACGGATTCTGTTGCCAGGTTGGTCTCAGCTCCTGGGCCCAAGCAGTCCTCCTGTCTCAGCCTCTTGGGTAGCCAGGACTATAGGCACATGGCACTACACTCAACTTTTTTTTTTTTCCTTCAGATACAGAACTTTTTTTTTTCTTCTGTATTTAGGACAGGGTCTACAGGGTCTCACTATGTAGATCATACTGGTAGTGATTCTCCTGTTTCAGCCTCCCAAGTGCTGGGATTACAGGAGTGCACTTCCATGCCCAGTCTCAACTTTTTATAATTTTAAGAAACTAGAAAAAAGAAAAAACTAGAAAAGAGTTTGTAGGCTCCCAACACCAATGATAAATATTGAAGGAGTTGAAGACGTTAATTACTTTGACAGTCAATCATGTAGTTATATGAATGTGCACACAAACTCTTTCTATAGCTATAAAATCACTCTCTACCTCTGTGTCTGTCTGTGCTTCTTTCTCTGGTGTGGCTTGGTAGTTAAGACAAAAAGATTCTGGTGCTGGACTTCCGGGGGCAAATTACTTCCCTTCGCACGGCTCAGATCCCTGTGTTGGACTGCTGTGAGGATGGGATGGATGAGCTATGCCTGGCAGTGGGGAGCTGGGTACGGCAGGGCTTGATGTTACTATTCTCCGAGCGTGCAGGTATGTGGGTGTGAAAACCACACTAAAGAAATAAAAAAAATGGAGACGTGGAAGACAAAGGGTGGGCCGTGTCTTCTCTTTGCTGGCCACGTATGAGCAGGAGTTTTTCTTTCTTTTTCACTTTATTATTTTGGGTGGCACTGGGATTGCATCCAGGGCCTTCACACTGAGCTACATCCCCAGCCTTTTTTCATTTTTTATTTTGAGACAAGTTCTTGCTGAATCACTAAATTATCCAGGCCAGGGGGCTTGCGTGTTAACTCAGTTGTTTAAGCGCCTGCTGGGGCAAATCCAGCGAGGCACAGGGGACTGAGGTTTGATACTCAGCTCCCCATGCCTTATCAGACCCACCTTTAAGGCAGCCTGAGCCAGCCTCCCCCCCAAAAAAATTATCTAGGCCTGACTTGAATTTGGGATTCTCCTGCCTCAGCCAGCCGCAGTGGTGGGATTACAAGTATGCGTCACCACACACAGCTGAAATCCAGCCTGTTTGCCAGGCCTCCTGCTCCCTGGAGCCTTCATGACCTGCCCAGCCTGAGGGCTCCCAGTTGGGGCCCTTGACCCTGTCCATGACATCTGCTCGGCTCTCCCTCTTCCAGTCTGGGGTTCTGGAAAGAACAAGCGTTGGCTTGTTCTTGGCGATCTTTCTGCCTCACCCTCCTGAGTGCTGGGGTGACAGATGTGCCACCACACCCGGCTTTTATGTAATTTCTAGGTTTACATATTTCCTCACCGGTCACCCCTTCATCTCATCTCCTTGACTCCTGCTTGGGGGAACCTGAGTGTTATGGGGTGTGTGTGTGTGTGTGTGTGTGTGTGTGTGTGTCACTGGGGGTGGAATCTAGGACTGCGCAAATGTTCTACCACTGAACCAATCCTTTTTTTTTTTTTTTTCGGAACCGGAGATTGAACTCAGGCCCTTGTGTTTGCCAGGCAAGCGCTTATTCTACTGAGCTATCTCCCCAGCCCCCTCCTTTTTATGTTACTTTGAAACAGTTTTACTGAGTTGTGCAAGCTGCCCTTGAATGTTCAGTCTTCCTGCCTCAGCTTCCCCCAGGTACCTGAGATCAGAGACATAAATCCGCATTTTTTTTTTTTTTTCAGAACCGGGTATTGAACTCAGGCCCTTGCACTTGCCAGGGAAGCGCTTATTCTCCTGAGTCATATCCCTGGCCCCAGAGACATAAATCATCATGCTCAACTTTTTAAAAAGTAGTTTCCTCACATCTCTATATATGACTAGACAGTATTCTATTTGAGTTGGCCTTTTCTATATCCCTAGCCCTCTCTAGATTGCCCAGCCTGGTGTGGTGGCGCACGCTTGTAATCCCAGCACTCAGGAGGGTGAGGCAGGAGAATTTCTGCAAGTTCAAGGCCAACCTGGACTACAAAGTGAGTTGAAGGCAAGCCTGAACCATATAGGAGACTCAGTCTCAAAAAGATCAGTCAGGGCCAGGGAGATGGCTCAGTGGAATAAGTAGTTCCCTGGCAAGCACAAGGTCCTGAGTTCAA